AAGCGACCGTGTATGCCATGACCTGCCTCGATTGCTCCGCCTTCTTGCCGCGCGGCTCAAACGTCTGCAGTAGATCGTCGTTGGACGCAATAGTCGAGAGGACGATTGGATCGACGGGGATGTACTTGTTAGACACAGCAGAGCAGACCTCGACCCAATAGATCGGGAAGCCAAGGTCTCGGTCGTACTTCTTGTTTGGCTTCTTCTTCGGCGTAGCGGGAGTGACATCGACCACAGAGAGGTCGTCATCATCCTCAATCTCAACAGGCTCGGCGTCCGATGGCGCGCTACTCAGCGCACTATCAGAGTCCTCGAGGCTGATGGGCTCCGACTTGTTGCCTCTGGCGGATTTCCGCGCGGGTTTGCCACCCTGCAGCTTCTTGCCAGATCGCGACGACTCTGGCTTGATCTCCACTTCAGCTTCCGAGTCCGACCCTATAGTAGCGGCTTCTGTAGATACGCCACATTTCTTCTTTGGCTTCTTAGCATCCGCTTCTTCCGATTTACTCCATCCCAAGCCAGCAGGCTGCAAGTTGACCACCATCCTTGTTTCCATGCCCAGACCTCTTAGTAGCGCTGCAAACAGCTGTGCACCGACATCGCGCGAGCCTTCGCACTCGTGGGCCAGTTTCCGAAGCTGGCTCAGGCTCTCAATGCGCTCGCCGTGGTGCTCGGCATCATTCTGGTTCTTCTGCCAGCTCTTTACCTCTTCACCTAGACGGCGCATAGACATGTAGCCCTGCTTCCGCAAGCCAGGTGCGGTAATGGTGAAGCGCTTACGCCAGTACGCAGTCAGTACCTTGAGAAGCCTGAGCAGTGGGTCGCCTGCACTCAAGTTCGGCACGCCTTGCTCCAGATGCTCGGCCTCGTAGTTCCAATCTCTACCACCCTTCTTTTTACCCTTCTTGCCACGCTTACCCTTTCCTTTGGCAGCGGTAGCCTTCTTCTTCGCCTCTAGCTCTTCTTTGCTTAGCGTGCCCATCGACTCCTTCCATCTGGTGACCTCCCGTCTAACGCCCTCCGTCAAGCCATCGACAAGCGTCTTCTGCACCTCTTTGTCGTTCAGCCAGGAGTTCCGGACAGTGTTGTGCCACAGCAGAGCCTGTATATGCAAGCAGTGGGTCTGTACGCGGACAACCCGTTCGCGCTTCGACGGGCCTTTCTTTCCCAATCCCGGGATGGAAACGCCCGGATCGACGTAGCTGCCGTCTTCGTGGATCGTGAACGAGATGTCTGCAATCTCTTGTTCCGGACGTGCTGCGCTCGTACTCGCCGTTGGCCGCGCGGACGAACTGTGCTGTATGGCATCCTCCCAGTCCATCCCCTCCTCCTCATCCTCCTCAGCATCGCCATCTGCCTCCGCGGTTGGCAACGTCTTGCGCCGCTTCGCTGCCGGGACGTCTTCGAACTCGTCGCTGTCGGCTTCGCTCAGCGACCCATCCTCATCATCGTCGTTGAGCTCCTCAAGCAGCTTCTTATTCTCAGCTAACGTCTTCCGCTTCGCCGGCACGTCCACAACATCAAACAATGTCGGCTTAGTGCTTTTTGACGCCGCTGCTTTACCCTTGCCTTTGCTCTTGGTAGGTGGCGAGGGTGCTGGGGACGAAGAGCGCAGGCGCTTTCGCGACGTGGCAGGCGGCATCACAAGAGGCGAGGCAACCCAGCCGCTGACGACTACAGCATATGCTACGCTTGGAGACAGAGACAGAGGCGAGAAGCTACCTGAGCGCGTCTTGACCGTCTCTGCACGACTTTCACGACTTCCACTTCTACGCGCGACGGTACCTGAAACATGCCGTCACTGCGCAGACAGATCTGCCGCTAAGGTGATATGGCACGTGCTCGCTCGATCTCGGCGCGACATCCGACTTGCGACTCCGATTTGCTTCGCAGACTCTACTACTTGCGGAAGATGTATACCACAACGTCGCCTGCCGCATGCATGGCAGAGGAGTCTGCTGTCTCACTAATGCCACACTGACCGCGATGCTCCGTACACCCACGTAGGACAGACAGAGCGTCAGCCATGGCTCCCAGTACCTGCCTCATGGGCAAGCATAGCATGACTGATAGGGGGCAATCGAGCTCTTACCAAGAGCCTTATTAGTGGTTCGACGTTGTTCCGAAGCTCCGTGCAGACGCTCGGGATCTTACCATCTCTCTCCACTCGCACTGCGGCTTTATAGACGTACCACCCTTCTTTCTTCATTCTTCACCGTTTGAGCTCCCCTTCGGACGGCACTTCAACATGGCACGTGATGATGACATGCTACCGATGCACTATAACATCTATGAGCCTTCTAAGTCCAGCCCGCCCGCTAATGTCTGTATGCACAAACGCCAATGCCATGCGGTCCTTGGCACATGCAAGTCGTTGCCGCCGTCACTCGAATCAACGCAGCTTCCGTCTATACAGCTCGCCACCGCAATCCCGTAGCCGCTTGGCAGCCTGCTCCGGCGTGATATCTCGTTGCGGCTCCGCCATCATCTCGTAACCCACCAAGAACTTGCGTACGGTCGCACTGCGCAGTAATGGCGGGTAAAAGTGGATATGGAAGTGCGAGGCCTCGATCTCTTCGTTCGTGCCGGTGAGTGGAGCTTGGTGGACCCCCATACCTAATGTGCTGTTAGCAAACGAGTCTAACATGTTGAGGTATGGTTCGACTTACTGTACGGAAAGCTCGTTTCAAACAGGTTGTCATATCTCCGCGTGATGTCCGCAATCACCTCGGCGAGGTCCTCCTTGTTTTGCTGATCCAAATCCACAAGCGCACGCTTGTGCGCCTTCGCAATAACCATGATCTCGAACGGCCAAGTAGCCCACCAGGGACACCCAGCCCAGAAACTACTGTTCTCGAAAACCGTCCGCTCACCCTTTTCACTCTCCAGCTTGGCGTAGTCCTCCAGGAGATTGCAACCGCCTTGCTCACGCCGATATCGTTGCAAACTCCCCAGCTCAAGGCTAGGCTCCTCTGGTAGGGATGTCGTGGTCCATATCTGACCATGAGGATGTGGATTGGAGCAGCCCATCGCTTGGCCCTTGTTTTCAAAGATCTGCATGTACCGATACTGCTGACTCGGCTGGTCGACAATATGGCCGTTGGTCGTTGAAGGCGGTAAGGTGGTCGGTTTGGCGGCTCTGGCAAGCGGCGAGTGAGGATCCAGATGCGCGGTGTAAATCTTCGTCCACGTATCAATCACAGGCAGTATGATCTCTGCAGGCATGTCGGCGAGCGTGATGTTGTGGTCGGGCGAGAAGGTGATGACATAGCATTTACCCGTCGTGCTCTCTGCGCGCAGTAACCTTGACGCCAGCGAGCCATCTTGTGCGGGAGACTCATATTCGGTTTGCTGCTCTTTCACGGCCGCGTAATCATTGACGAAGACGAACGTCCTATCGTACTTGGGATTGGTGTCGCCTTGTGCTCGCTTGTTGCCGGGACAGAGGTAGCACTACTGCGCCTATCAATGAAGTGTTCTTCCCATTGCCATGCTCACACTCGTACGTACGGACGGGTCGTACTGCGGCAGCTCAATCTTGCTTGCTGCCTCTTGCTGGCCCTGCCATGGCCGCTTCGTCCTGTGCGGCGACACTAGCACCCAGCTGCCTCGAAGCGGGTTATATCGACGGTGGGAGATGTCGTCGAGGATAGCGTCAGGCATGTTGCTTTTGGAGTAGGAGTGGGAGCTGAGACAATAGCTATCCCCTATTGCCAACTGCTGTCGTTGAAGAGAACCTTTGCGCTAGGAAGTATGGAACGCAAGCAAACCAGAAGCTGAAACTACCAGCCAGGAAGGTCTGACGTTACGGTATCTACAGTTATTTCTACATGCGTGACACAGTTGCGCCGGCGCTTCGTAACGTCGGTGGGCCCGTCCACACTCCCCTCCCGCTCACAACCACAGGGCGAAGCACATGCGCTCGGTCGATGTGGGCACACCGCGAAGAGGGCAATTGGAGGGACTTTCTTCGACCAATGCGGGATGTGGGGGTGACATCAGGTGGAGGGGCAACCGCTGACCGGCCCGCCCGATGGCGGCAATAATGGCGGCATTCTGCCGAATGTTCTGCGCTTCTTCAGCACGTGTCCGGCAGACGGTAAGGCGGATGGAAGTTATAAGGACATGACAAGACTCAGTGTCGAAATGTTTTGGATTAGAGAGGCTCCTGTGGTTTTCCACCTGGCTTTGACATGATGTGGGACTAGGTGCACTGCATTTTCTACGGCTTCATAAGATACAGCTGGCATACTGCCTTGGCCATCATATCACAAACGCGACTCCTGCAGTCCTTTCCGACGGAGGGTACCCGACCCTATTCTGCGGGCACGGCGGCGCAACAGCGCACCACACACATGTTGTGCGAGTCCCTCGAGCAAGTAGCTGCCACCGACCGGTCCCATCAGTCAAGCTTGGACATCACCCACATATGCGTTCGGGTCAAAGCTGTTCCTCACCCAGGCAGATAGTGGATATCGACGGACGGCGTGTAGTTGGGTGGTCGTCTGTAAACCAAGAATGTATACTCCTGCGCTGCAATAATAGTATCAGGAGCTGGTGTGGTGACACCCTCATCTACTGTAACGCAAGATGGCTGCAGATTGGAGACGATCAGATGCAAAAAGTCAGGTTTAACGAGGAGGATGGCCGAGTTCGTGGTTCCGTTCGTCTGTTGCGGAGGGTGTGCGGGGAGAAGAGAAGAAGTTGAGGAAAGACAGGGGGGCTTCGACGTGACTTTGAGCGTATTGCAGTCAGGGCTCGTTGAGATTTGAGTTTGGGCCGTGCCCTTCAGATCCGGCGCGCATCCGAGAGCAAAGTACGCCGAGCATACTTACTTATACGCCGGAACATATCACGTGAATTCTAAACGGACCGTCCGTTTAGAAATTTCAACGGGCCCTAATTGCAGTATTTGCGAGCCAAAAGGCAAAACATAGGTTTGCACATAGTGCTACTGCTTTCTAGGCAGCTGTATAGATCGATATGATGTAATTTCTTATCGACCAACATGGGACTCGAACCCACAACCTTTCCCTATTTCCATGATATAGGAGGGGAACGCTCTACCATTGAGCCAATCGGCCCGAAGACATATGCTCGATGTTGAAACCAACGAACTTCATAAAACTTCGGCGCTTTGATTCTATATAGTTCATTGATCAAGAGCCGGGGTTCTTCCGAAGCGTATGTTCGCTTCCAGGTTGCTATCAATACCACGGACCGTCAACCTGGACGCTACATACGTCTTGTTTGAGCTTGGAGGTTGAATGCACAACCAGGGCAAATACCACATAAGACTAGGTACCTCGGCAACTAGCTGCTTCCGTTGCAGCAACATGGCTCTACCTATCTCCGTACTCTTGTCAACGTATTTCTGTATGCACGCCGGGAGATTCATGCCGGCGTCCGACTCTGCATCCGCTACAACAGACCTATCTCAGCCAGCAGCCATGTATCTACATAGCGTCCACCTCATCCCTCATATGTCCCCAGAAAACAGGAGAGCATCGGCGTGGTATATCGCAGCAAGCGCCCGAAGAACGCCAAGCCAAAGTGCCCGTCCGGGGCCTCTCTCAGGATAGCTGATGCTCATGCCCCACCGCTGAAACATATCTCGAGCACCCGCAGCCACCCGCAAAGCAATACACATCACAGGATCCGGCACTGTTCGCGGTGATCACGGTTCCTAACCGTAGCCACCACCACCAGCACCTCCACCAGCATGGCCTTGCCCGTGACCGTTCATACCAGACAGTGCACTTACATCGCCATTCGGAATGCCGAAGAACTCAAACCAATCGCCGACGTTCAGGGTGGTCGGCACAATGGGACCCGTGCTCGAAGTATTACTCCACTGATCGTCCGGTATTCGTCGCTGATGATGCTGCTGCTCAGGCAGGGGATGCATCTGCGCCCAAGTCTGCGGGTCTTGGTGGTAAGACGGCATGCCTTGCTGCTGGTTCGACACGTGTTGTTGAGGATGGGCGTGTTGCTGGCCGGCCATTTGCGGTTGGTGCTGTCCGTCATGCATCGGCATCTGCTGGCCACCCGCCATGTGCGCTTGTTGTGCGGCAGGCTGATGCGGTGCCGGTGCCCTGAGAGCCGGGTCGACCATGCCTTCATTTGGACTCATCAGAGGAAAACCGCCCAGCATCCCATTCGCTTCCGGCGGAAACAGTTGTCCCGGGTCGTAGTTCTGCCATAGATCCTCCGAGATCTTCGGGCTTCCTCGCGTGTGCAAGAAGAGATCTGGTGGCGTGCCAGGGTAAGAATAAGGGTTGAAGGGTGTGGTAGGGCGAGTATTCGCACGGGAAGTGCCCATGAAGGCGTCTGTGCTCTGCCGTACATTCGGTGATGTAGCGGAAATCTGCGGAAGGTGTTGCTGAGGCTGCGCGGTGCTCTGCTGTCCTAGAAGGTCTTGCGAAGGCGTGACCGCCCGACTCTGTGGCCGCGAACGCTCGTAGGACATCTGCGGTGCGGGCGGCCCATTAGTGTACCCCAGCTCCATGTCGTCGAACTTCCGCTTCTGCGCCTCGGACGCTTGCTGCTGCTGTTCGTTGGGTGGCGTATTCTTCGCGGTCCTCCTTCCCGTCGAAGCACCATTGGGCTTGTTCTTCCCGTGTCGCCTACCAGCCGCTTTCTGCATCTTCTCCTCGAGCACCTTGTTGCCGAGGATGGACTCGAACAGCGTGTGAACCATCTTCGCCACCAGCCAGACTTTACTGACGTCCCGTAATGCGTTCATGCAGGTAGTCAGCCGCTGTTGTGTGGCCGAGACTATCGTTTGGTTGGATGATCGCATCTGGTAAACATGCATAATCAGAGCCGAGAAGAGCGAATAGACACTGTAGCATTGGTCAGCACTAATGCATCAGTCCGAGTTCGGAGCTCACGCACATGAATGCAGGAGTATATCGCAGCTCGTCATGCGTCTGCAACGCCTCGATGATACTCGTTATCATACCCGCCGCCTGGTAAGCAATCGTCCTGCTTGGGTACGACGTCTCTTCTAGAAAGCCATTCGGAAATGCCTGCTCCGAGCCAGCAGGCGGCATATGCGCTCGATGAAGCAAGCAAAGCGTGGTGTAATAGTTCGCATGCAACAATGCACTCCAGAAATGGTGACGCTGCGGCTCCCACCTCACCTCGGGAGGGCAATTCTGCAACCAGTCTGCCAACGCCATGTCACTATGTGTGAGCTCCATTGCATTGTTTCGCCGTAACTTTGAGGCTACGCTGTACTGCTGCGACAGCACTAGACCCATGATCTCGCATAGCTTGACGTAGTTGAGAAAGAAGTGGACATGTATAGGATCCGCTGGATACTCCGAGGGGTGATCGGGTCCTTCATCATCGATAAAGTCGTCTTCGGAGACCATCTCCACGTCGGAGTCTTCAATGTTAATGCTGACCGGCCGGCCAAGAGCCACAGCCACGGAGCGGTCACGCGTGAAGAGCGTCCACCATATGCGCTTCCAGAGGCGTTTGTCGGCCTGGGATAGTTGTGATCCTTCGACACTGCGACATGGAGTAAGCACGGAGTAGGTGGAGTTGACAGGGATGACAAAGCGAACTGTCTTACCTTCTGTGCATGCCGCTGCCTTGCGCCACAATGACCGCGACTCTTGACCAATAGAAGACATTCTTCGTCACGTCTGCAGCCAGGTCAGACCGAGCATGCGTGACGATGTTGCCTCTTGACGAGTTCTTACCCTCTGGCCCCTCCCAATACCATCCCATTAGTATCAGGGCCTGCACTATTGTGACTCTGTCGTCTTCGTAGTTCGCATCATACAAAGCTTTGGCCCGCTTGTAGAAGGTCATCGCTGCTGGTGTTGTGGAGCCATTGGCATCCATTAGTTGCGGGTTGTTGCATACTCTACTGCCAGCTAGCAGTATGGCTTGCAGTAGGAGCAGAGAAGGCGGGTTTTTAGTGTCGCGATACCGCCGCATGAATTTGCTCCTGTTGATCACTGGGACCACAGGTGCAATCCATTGGAAGAACGCTTCCACTAGCTCGTCGCATAGTCCTCGGGGAGGGAGCAGAAAGGCGCCTCGCTGATGCAGGATGTCGATCTCGACGTTGTCCAGCTCATTGATCCTAGCACGTGCACCACGAACATTCTCCGGTAGTGGATAGTGCACAACGTCGGTCGTGCCGTGCTTGTCCTGTACGAGCAAGCTCAGATTCGAGCTCTCACCAAGATACGCCACCCGTCCGGCCTCTTTGATGGGCGCGCGCGCAAACTTGGGCTTCATGTACTGCGCATAGGTGCCATTGTTGACCCGCTGCTGCGAGGCATAGGATTCTGACATCTCGGTCTCGGGCATGCCGCGCTGCGTGTTGATGCCCATGCTCTCCGGAGCGAAGTCGCGCTCGGGAAGCTGCCGCGGCATAACGAGTTCGCGTGCCGGGAAGTTCTCGCTCCGCACACCAGGCGAGCGTTCATTGGTAGTCTCGACGTGGGAAGACTCTCCGCGATCGCTGTGTCTGTACCGTCAGCGTCCACCTCGTCTGCCCGCAGTACTGTATCCGTCCGCACCTGTCTGTATCCTTCTTGCCACCCGATGTCTTCTTCCTCTTCGGCGCCGGAATCTTGCACTCGATGGAGAAGGCGACGCAGTTGGTGCACGGCACGCCGAGGCTGGCGGCATCGCAGCGGACCTAGCAAGCCATATCAGTAATCGCTCGCGGCGTTGCGCTGACAATCACAGGCAGTGTACCTTTCGCGCATGGCATGTCTGTCATAGTTGGTCAGCAGCATCCTCGTCGTGTGTATAGCAATACGAACTTACCTCGCAGGCTCGACTCGCGCGCTGTCTGTCGCGAAGGTTAGCAAACAATCTACCAGTGCGGTTTCTGTCGCGTTTCCATACCGCCTGAAGCTTGGATGACCCGGCATCTGGTCGTTGGGCGCAGCGGTGCCTGTGGGCGGTGGCGCCGCCATTGCGCTGGTTGGTGTGTTGTTCGCCGACGACATCGGGTCCATGGTGGGCGGTGGGTCCATGGTCTGCTTGCTCGCTTCCACGAAGCCGGGCCTGCGTCACGCGCCTGTGTCGGTTTGCACACCCACCATTCCCTCTGCGCATCAAAAGCTCAAGGTGTAACGGCGGGCGATGTTTTCGAGGGCGTCCTTCGGTCGAGGTCGGCAACCTGGCGCATGCAGCTCGGTCTAGCCAGCTTGACAGGTGCGCGTGTTTAGTGGTGGAGGTAACCGTCTCCCGCAGCGGGCGTCCCCGAAGCTAGTGGAGGGCTATTATCGGCGATCTGGTTTGGTTCGCAACAACCTGACCTCTTCTCTTCTCGTTGGGACGATCTCAGCGGAGAGTTCCCGGTCTCGAGAGTCGGAACACTTGCGCCCGGGCTCCGGCCTCACCGGCTCACCCACCCGAGCAAAAGAGCAGTGATTCTGGAAGGCGGGTAGCTTGCCCCAGACCGACTCGATGTGGAAGTTTCAAGGACGATGCCGAGGCAGGTTTCAGTGTTTCACATACCTCACTCGACTTCTGGGTGTTTTGCCTTCTAGACTACCGGGCTCTCCTCAACCCGCCAACCACCACCCGGCACCTGCCCCGGAATTGGTAGCACAAGACCGCCATAACCCGGCTTGACGTTGGAACCAGTGCGAGCATTGGCCGTCCGATGCGTGGATCACGCGTTTGGGACCTGGCTCAACCGTCTCAAGGCCCACCATCCCGGTCGACGTGCGCCAGCTTTGAGCGGGCCAGAGACAGGAGCAGTGTCGCGTGACCTCTCACCGTACTCTCTTGACTCCTCTTCTTCCATCAGCAGACCTCGGTTCCCAGGGTATCGGATGGAGCCTTTGCCCTGCAGTCTAGAGACGTACCTATCTAGAGGCATACTTACGGGTTGGAGACACGTTCGCGGCGGACTAAGGTGTGAGAAGACGCAGAGACGACTGCGAAAAATACACTCAAACATACAGAAGCTATGCCGAAAAATTAATTTCCGAACTCTAGTTCCTCGCGCAGGCTGTCGCTCCTCTGCCTTCACTGGAGCATAGCCCTCACTGCAACCGCCACCACAGGCCATGCCAGTCTGGCACACAAGGCCCCAAGAGCT